ACCACTGTCTCTCCTGATTAAGGAAGAACCTATTATACTGGGACCCAGTTCTATCTCGAGCCATCTGTCAAACGGGTTGAAATAAATTGTATAGATTCTTGCTTTAATCTTCAGGAAGGTGTTGCTTTAATCTTCAGGAAGGACTCAAAATCAAAGATGCAGTACTGCAGAAAATATAGTATTGCTGGTGCATCAAGGGGGGGAATCTTAGCTTTTGAAGCATAACATCTTACAATGCGTCTTTTTATAACAAAGTATATCTATCTGCACAAGCATTTTACACAGTGAAGCAGTATCCTGGAAGAAACTGAATACTGGACTTACATGAGTACTAAACCATATTGGAAATATTCTGTCCTCTTTGTGTTTCACCCAAGGTTCAAAGACAACAAGATTGCTGGAGTCAGATGTGTTAAGAAATGTTCTTGTCTTTCAAGACAAATGATTCATCACTTCTTCAGGGAACTAAAGCCAATTCCATGAAGGCTTTGATGGTCATAGCACAGAGCATCAGTGGAAGAAATGTGTAAAATAAGTACTTCATTGCAGTACAGAAAAAGCTTTTAAAATGCCTATTCAAAAGTCTTAGTGCAAGTACAGGTTGAATATACTGGTCTGGTCTCCTCTGGCTTTCTGAAGACCATATCAGCAAGCTTTAGGCAATGGTCGACAATAAAAAGCAAAAATATAGGACTATTTAATTTGTCTAAATGCTGTCTGCCTCCCAATTTTTTTACTTTCAGTAACTTCCCTATGGTGGTGATTGGACATTCTTTTGATATGACACAAGATTTCTTATCTGTTTTCTTTTTCTAATTAATGCATGTCTGCTAATTTGGTACAATCATTATAGTAGGTACATGTGTGTTTTAAAAAAGAATTTTGCTATCCTTCAGACCTGAGAGCTCATGCTTACATTAGCCTAATTGTTGGTTGTCATGGTTACACACTTTATATGGTATGTCAATTGAATAAACTTTGAAATAATTCTGTCAGGAACATTGGATGAACCAGCCTTCCTATATCTCTTCTGAGATTTACAGTTTTGTTGCAATTTCTGTTGGTATACATGAGAAGGGGAGGTGGAATTATTGGTCTGATTGGCAGACACTTTTTATCTGAAAAAAGAAATTAACAGGTAAGACACGTTCTCCTGCATATTGTATATAGCTTCTTTATATTTGAATATGTGCAGTAATTGACTAAAGTACAAAGATGATTTTGTAGTATTTAACTTTGCACTAACTTTTTTAAGGCATTTAAAGCACAGTTTATAGTCAGAAAAGTGACCACCTAATAAAAAGCCACCTTAATCAAAATCTGGTCTTTGTATGCATTAGGAGTCATATGCTTACTACTTTGACAAAAGCTTCTACTACAAATACTATAAGAAGCTTAATGGTGATAGCAAGATGATTTTTGTCCCCCGCCTTCGGTATCAACAGAATTTGTTTTAGTCCAATTGTTAAATCTGTAGTGCTTATAAAGTACAAGCAGGAAAGAACTCAACTTAATTTTCATGTTCCAGGTTGAGTCTGTAGAAGTCCTTGAGTCTATAAGCAAAAAAACTCCAAATCACTGTAGTAATCAAAAATAATGCAAATATTATTAGTACTATAACACTGTGGTTTTCTTCTTTTACACTTACACAAAAACATACTTTTTCTCCCCCCGTCCCTTCTCCCAAAGTGCTCTTCATCCATAGAGCTCAAAGGAGGGTAGGTATTATTACCACCACATTCTAGTTAGGAAAACTTAGGGCCGTAGCTAAGCATTTTAGCACCCGGGGTGAGCAATCATATTTGCGCCCTCTAGGGGCAACGTGTTTGTGTGTGTGGTGGGGGGGGGATGACATGGTGTCATGTGCCCTCTCCCCAGATTTCTGCCTCCCATTTAGCTGCAGGATGTGCCTCCCTAGGGGGATGCACCCCCCCCAGTTAGAAAACAGTCACCTCTTGCCACGAGCCAGCAGCTGGGAAACTGGTGGGAGCCGCTTGGGCCTGTGGTTCTCTGTGCTCTTCTGCACGACCGGCCACTCCCCAGGCAGGGTGGGCAGCACACTCTAAGCTGTGCCCCTGACACACTCTTGCCTCTGCCATGAAGGAGCTTAGTGCTGACTTGTGACACCTCCTGGAGCCAGCCCCTGCCCGTGGAGTCTGGCTGCCATGAGATGCTCCCCAAGGTTCTCGCTGCAGTACTCATGCCCCTTGGGCACCTGCCTCTCAGCAGCCTGGTCATACCCTGGTTACCATCTGGGGACCTGCCATTGTAGCCAGGTCACTCTCCCCTACTCCCTGTGCATAGAGTCGAACAGCCCCTTGCTCTCCTTTGCTGCCCTGCCCCAGCCCCATGGCTGCTGGGCTCGCAGTCACACAGCCTGAGCTCTGAACTCAGCCATCTGAGCCCAGTGCCCAGCCCAGGAACTGGGGACCGGTGGCCACTGGAAGCGTGGACTCATTCCTGCCAGCTCCGGAAAGCAAGACTGAGAATATTGCAACCCCTAGGGTTACACCCTGCCTCCCTTGCCCTGCTTCCTCCCCCTGTGGGCACTCACGGTTGTACAGAAAACAGGATGGAGGCCAAATAGGGAGCTCAGCACATGTAGAAGGCACTAGAATTCAGGAGATGGCATCCAGCTGCAGCGGTACCGTTGCCAGGAGAAGCAGCTTCATGCCATCCACTCCTGGCCCAGGTCTCTATCTAGGGGGAGGGGCAATGCCACACCACACCCCACCTCAAACTATGGCCGTGGACTCCAGCCAGTGGTGTTGAGCCCAATCCTCTGGGGGGAGAGGGCCTGATGCCGCTGGGCTCAATCCTGCACTGCCCCATTTTTGTGCCCCTGCCAGCTCTGTGTCCTAGGCAGCTGCTCATCTTGCCCCAGCCTAGTTGTGGCCCTGGGAAAATGGGGCATAGGAGGTCACTTCAGAGTATATCTGCACTTTAGAATCCTCAAATTTATCATTTTTTTAATGTGTGTGTGTAAGTGAAATTTTGAGGTTGGTTTGCTCACATAGGCCTTTGAACATGCATTTAAAAAGCTTTCCCTAGTCATTACTTGCCTAATACTGTGTAAAAGTGGGTAGGGCAGCAATAGAACCTGCTATTTCAGTTCTTAATCTAATAGAGGTCATTATTGCACATGTCATTAATATGAAGGAGGAAAACTTGCCAAGGATGGTTATTATGACACTGCACATCACTGTAAATGTGACTACAAAGAAATAAGGTTCTGCCACGTCATATCTTACCATCCTCTATGAAAATAACTTTGTGTAGACATGTTAGTCGAATATTAAATGAAGGTTTTTGGGTGGATGGGAATGACATTTAAACAGACAAAATGTCCATTTAAAAAAGATTACATTTAAAAAGCTATTCTAATTTAGGACTGATTTAGGCTGTCTAGAGGAAAAAACACTTATATGCTAGCTCTTCAACCTGTTAAAAAATTTTATGGTGAAATACTAGTGGCTCCATCTACACTAGGGCTCTGAAGCCTGTTACTTTAGTGAACAGGTTTTTTGTATAGAAAGCATGTATTTTTCTAGACTAGATGAGGCCTTAGAAAAAGAAAATTCCTGAGAATACTTAAATGGAAGTTCACCTTGCTCCTTGTGTCACAAGAGAACCAGTATTTGCAAGGTACCCTCTGATTCTAATAAAAATATCCCTGTAATGTAGATAGTGGTTTGCCACTTGCCCATGGCAAATTAAAAGCTTGCTCTGGACCGCGAGGGGACCTATATCCTCAATTTCTGCAACATTTAAGTTTTCATTTAAAAAAAAAATCTAGTTCTTGGGGTTGCAAAAACTACTATTAAACCTATGTATATTATTCCTCATTTATCCATAGCAAACAATTCTGCTGGTCACAGCTTTCGTAAGCAGAATGAAATTAGACTGGTCAGTTTCACTGCTGTTACTGAAAACTCTGTGGGCAGTGATGAAAATGTCAATTTCATGCTGTTTTTGGCTTTAAAAAGAACTGAGGAACAGTAGAAGCAAGCACTGGAAATAGTACCAGGGAGAAAAATTCAGTAAATAGTATGTGCATGTGGAGAGGACATATGCAGTCATAGAAATCCTCCCTCTTCACAAGAATAGGAAATATTAAAAGGTGGGGTGAAAAGACAGACAGCTCCTCCTTGCCAGCCTTTAGGGGTGAAGCATTTCAAAAGTATGATGCCTATTAACTACAGGCTAATATCCAAAGAGAGACCCAAGAAGAGTCTAGGGCAGAAGCCTGGTAAAAAGCCCAGCCTTCTTTCCCTTCCTGGCATTTGGAGGTAATGGTGGGGTGGGGAAAAGGGAGAGCAAGAGTGAGGACGGGGCTTCTCATAATAGAATTGCTCTTGGACATTGCTGATGGTGCCCAATACTCTCTTATAGATGTACCTCTATGGGGTCCCCAATGTGTGGGGTGTGCCCCCTTAGGGGGGAACAAAGGAATATTCGGGGCAGGGCATGGCTGGGCTTGGGACAGCCCCCATGGGGGGCAGGGAGAGAGTGGCACCGTGCTCCACTCCTGGTCCTGGCCCCAGTTGCCAGTCACCCCCACCAGGGGTCCCAGCTGCAGCTCTGCTCCTGAGGCTCTGCTCCCGGCTGCCAGCCTGTGCCTGGGGCTCCGCTCCTGGCCCTGTGCTTGGGATCCCAGCTGCTGGCCCAGTGCCTGGAGCTCTGCACCTGCCCCCAGCTGAAGCCCCATCATTGATCCCCTTACTCCTGTCTGGTGACGGTGGAGGGGCACAGACAGGGATAAGAGGGGCGCAAGGTAAAAAGCTTGGGGACTACTGCTCTAGCTAGTATGTTTAGTGTTTGGGCTAGTAGGTATCTGGTTTATTATCTAAGTCTTGATACAATATAAGCTAGTGTTCTTTATGGAACTGCTATGCCACGGAATAACAGTTCTGATGTTTGAGCTGAAAATAATACATTTAATTTTGATGTAAAACCAGTAACTTTCTTATAGGATTGTTATTTCTGTCTTATCCTGTTAGGTGTAAGAATTTGTCTATATCTTACTGGAATTCCTATTGGATGCTGCCCTCTGATGTTTGTGGAATGAACTGCTTTTGGGAAGCTGCTTTTAGGTAGGCTCTAATATTAAATAGAAACTAATTACTGGCAGCTAGTATCAGTTATATAAAAACTGGCAAATTAAGCACACTTTAAAAATTACTTCAGATGTGTTTTCTTGTGCTCATAGTGCAATTGTCTTCATAAACTGGACTTGTATGCCCCCTTAATGACACTTTGTGCATTATCTTTTATCCTGAGAAATTAAATATCAAGAAGAAATCCAGAGAATATTTAACAAATTTTCTTTATTGCATTATTTCTTTTCTTTTTATTACTACTTATTTAGGAATTATTAACAGGCTTACAAATCCTTGCCATGTAAATATAAAAAACAAAAGAATAATTTTTAAAACAGTGAGCTTTTGTTTCAAGAGACATGTAGGAATATAGTCATTAGCTCTCTGTTTAACCGGGTGCTATGATATTACAGAATGAGTTTCATTAGAACACTGACGTCATTTCTACTGATTTTATTAAATTGAATGAAATCTCTGTTTACTCATATTTAACAGACCAGGCATGTCTAGCAAATGCTAATATTCAACATTATTTTTTTCTAACTGAGACACTTACCATTTTCTAGCCTAACATAATGAAAAACTATTTGTGGGTCACCATTTTTAACAAGCTGATAAGATTTGTTGCAGTGAGCTGTAAACCTGCAGATTAATTCAGTATAGATAGAACAAGTACACATTTTGCAATTGCTCATTTCCAGTGCTCAGATTTATTATTTGAAACTAGGAGTTTCTTATTAACTTTTTTCCCCTAGGATCTCATGACTAGCTGAGAGCACTAGCCAAACAATTCTGAGCTTACTACTTTACAGCATGCCACAAGTAACCTGAAACAATAGTTGTACAGTACATTGAAGTGTTAGCATGACTTCAAAGTTTCATCTTTAATGAGTAGTTTACACATATTACAGCTGTAATGCAAATTTGTTTTCAAATGCTCCAAATAGTTTGTCGGAAAAGTAACATTGCACGTCTGGCATGCTTCAGAATTATTCGACACAGACATAGTCCCCAAGCAACACAGTGCTTTTATGTGAACATTTAATATGGCAAGTTACTTGTCTTCTGTTTAAAATCTGATTAGGTCATCTTATAGATACACTGCACAAAGATATCTGACTATCTCTGAGAAAATAAAACAAAAGTATATTAATGGTCTTCATTTTTAGTAACTTTACATTTTTTGGTAGGTTTAATATTTGTAAAAAGAAGACGTTATTTTATGTAAGCATAGCAAGATAATGGGTTATGAAACCATGAAGAGGAACCAATAAATAAGCAGACCATTTCTGGACAAACCTTGTGGGCTTTGAGGTGTGTCCCTATAGATGCTCCATTCAGGTGTTGGTGTGTCCCAGCACCTTTGATCGGAGAATTTCAGCAGCAGTGTTTGCGTGCGCATCTGCTCTCCCCGTCTTGCACCCTTGTCGGCGCCTATCTAGTGCTGTGCGACCAGACCCCCCTCAGTTCTTTCTCATCCGTCCTTGACCTGAGACGGCACTCCCAGCAGTGTTAGGACTGATAGCTATACTTAGTGTTTAAAATAAGTTAGAGAAGTCTTTAGTACCTTAGTTGGGCTTACTTTTCCCTTTCTCCCTGTGTATTTTCTTTTTTCTCCATATGAATACCCCTTAGCTTAGTTAGTGTTCACCGTTAGGGTTGAACTGCTATATCTTGAGCCATGCCTTGTTCACTGGGCTTCAAGCACTGCCTTTCCTGCTGAGAGGCAATCCCCGTCTCTGACGAGCACTCTGTGTGTCCGGTGCCTAGTGGGGGAGACGTTCCTCAGAGTGCTCTCACTGCACTAAAGCCTCGCACCAGAAAGGACAGAGACCTATGTCTCAAACTTCTATTAATGGAAAAGTCTGCACCCAGCATCCTATCCAGATCTGAAGACCTGCCCTGGACAACGGCTTCCGGTGACTTCGCCCCCTTCACCAAAAGGGTAGTGACGAAAAGGGCTTTGACTTCTCCTCTCCGGCCTGCTCCTCATTCTCAGTACCAACCACACCATGGCTGAGTAATTCTGAGGCAGTGGGATCCTCCGGTACCACATGTACCGTTAAAGCCAGTGACCCTGAGCAGGCAGGTTCGGAGTTAAGGAGCAAACAGAAACCTATTTCCTCCATTATGGCACCGACAGTCTCCTGCAGGTTACGGCACTGAGAGGTTATGATGCCACCTTCTGACCTAGTAGCACAGAGTGCTCCAATGCAGGCACCAAAAGCCATGACTACAACAGCGCCATCTGCACCGATTACCTTGGTACCAAAACCATCGGCACCGCACCTTTTCCTACATCATGCAGACCTGCATGTCTCAATGCCGGAATCACCTCTCTTTGGCAACAGTGTTTCTTTGGCACACACAGAACCATGTCAGCCCACTTCACCTCTGGCCCCTCCATTCTCTAGCAAGGAAGAAGATACTGAGGGGGAGGGTGCATTCTCATCTCACCATTCCTCTCCCATTCAATCTACTGAAGTGTTGGGTCTCCCTGTGCAGCCTAAAGCTCATCACAGGCCTGACACCGAGACCTGGTATAGCCCCCCCATGGATGCCACCGCCTATGCCATTCTCCACTCAGTGGCCCTACTGGGACCCCTGGGGAGCATACAGGAAACAGTACCCCAGAACCCATACAGGGATAGACTTAGATCTCCCCCACCATCCTCAGTTACTGCACTTTCAGAGCTCCCTGAGGAAAGCTTTGAAGAACAGGAGGCGGCCTGGGACCAGGACACAACACCACTAGCAAACATTCTTCCTTGTCCCCAGACGAGGCCATAATGCCATTGCCACCCACAGCGGCAGACTATTTTAAACTTTTTCAAGAACTCTTTAAAAGAATGGCTGATACCCTAGAGATCTCTTGAGAGGAGGTCCCAGTGTTCCAGCACAAATTGCTGGACATTCTCCTCATCAAAAATTGTGCTTCCTATAAATGATGCACTCATGGAGCCGGTCAAAAACATACCTCAGATCCTGGCTACGATACTGCCCACCCCCAAGAGAGTAGTACTACATTCCCTCTGAAGGACTGGACTTCTTATTTTCTCACCCACACCAAACTCCCTAATGGTTGATGCTGTCAACCAATGAGGCAGACAACAACCCAGATCCACCCCGTACAACAGAGTGGAAACACTTAGATCTCTTTGGCCACAAGGCCTATTAATCCGCCACTCTTCAATTCCGGATTGTCAATTACGCTGTTCTAATGGGGAAATACGGCCACACAAATTATTCCAAGCTTGCAGAATTTATTGACATCCTACCGGAAGACAAAAGAGACCAATTTAAGTCCATCATTTTGGAGGGCCAGCTCCTATCTGGAACTGCCTTACAGGCATCTTTAGATGTGGCTGATGCAGCAGCATGCTCCAAGGCCACTGCCATAGTTTTATGCCGGGCTTTGTGGCTCCACCTGTCCAGCTTCCCAAAGGAGGTACAATCCACCATGGAGGACCACCCGTTTTATGGCCAGAAGCTGTTTGCGGCAAAAACCGATGAGTCTTTTCATGCCATGAAAGACTCAAGGGTGACGCTTTGCTCCCTGGGTGTATACACACCTACGTCAAAAAGAAAATGGTAAATTTTATCCCACTCAACGTACAAGGTCTGTTCTGTACACCTCACAAAAGAGGCACGATGACATACAAAGGCAAAGAGAGAGGCCTCCAAAGCATTGCCAATCTCCCAACTTAGTCATCAACATCCCACCAGCCCTCTGCAAAACAACAATTTTGAGGGTCTGGTTGAGGGACCAAAAGATCTCCCACATTCTTCAGTGCTGACCCCATCACTAACCATCCTCCGTGTTGGATACAGTTGACCCCTTTATAACCAGCATGGCAATCCATCACCACAGACAACTGGGTTCTGGAAATAATCCATTCAGGCTATATGATACCATTCATCTCTCCATCCCTCTTCAGGGACCCCTCTCACAAACACCTTGTACGGAAAGAAGTAAACCACCTCCTACATTTGGGCACCGTGGAGCAGGTACTATCACAGCACAGAGGGAATGGTTTTTACTCCTACTACTTCTTAGCCCAGAAAAAGAGCAGAGGATGAAGGCCTATTTTATATCTCCGAGAACTCAACAACTTCATAAGGGTCCAATGGTTCAGGATGGACAAATTAGCAACAATAATACCAGCACTGGAAGGAGGGGACTGGTTTTCAGCCCTTGACCTCCAAGCTGCCTTTTTTTTTTCATGGAACCAAACATTCTGTGCACAGGAGATTCCTCACGTTTATTCTGGGGACAGAACATTATTAATACAAGGTTCTGCTCTTTGGCCTTTCGACAGCGGCTCAGGTGTTTTCCAAAGTGCTCACGCAGTGGTGGCACACCTCCACAAATAGGGAGTGGCAATTTTTCCCTATCTGGATGATTGCCTTTTAGAAGCACCCACCTGAGCAGATGCCATAGACACTATACACATGACAAGCATCCTCTTTTTGCAGATGAGACTACAACTCAATGTACAAAAATCAATGCTGACACCCGTGCAGAAAGTGGACTTCATCAGGAAGAATCTCGATGTAAAAGAGGCCGAAGCGTCATTACCACTGACCAGATATCTCCCTATAGTCAATCGGATACCGTACTGAACAGCCCACAGATATTGGCACAGATCTGCCTCCAACTATTAGGCCAGATGGCAGCAAGCACATTCATGGTATTAGAGGGAACACTGGTCATTTTTCCCACCCATGTGTGGAATTAATTTTGTTATATGCACCAATATGGAAGTGATGTGTGACACATCACCTGGATATCGGTGCACATAACAAAATTCATGTGGTGGGGGTAGGGCAGAGGAGTTTGGAGTGTGGGAGGGGGCTCAGGGCTGGGGCAGAGGGTTGGGATGCAGGGGTGTGAGAACTCTGGATGGGGGTGTGGGCTTTGGGGTGGGGCTGGGAATGAGGGGCTCAGGGCTGGGGAAGACGGTTGGGGTGGGGGAGGGCTCCAGCTGGGGGTG